TCACCTCAGCCTCCCAAAGGCGCGGGATTACAGGCTGAGCCACCGAGCCCGGCTGTGCCCTTTTTAAAAGCCTTTAAGAGCTGGTCTCTTAAAAACAGCGGAGCATGTCTCGAGTCCCACGTTAGATCACCTACTCCTTCCAGAACCATCCATCAAGTACCACTGTCCACTGTGCCTTCCTCTGGAAACCTGTGGCTCTCAGTCCCTACCCTATTTCCAGTGCTCTTCCATGTCAGGTAGGCAGGAAGATGAGAGCTGATGAGACACCTGGATAGACAGGCAGACATGCTCAGTATCCTTCATGGTCTAGAAAGAGTTTTATTTCAAATACCAAGTTGCTGCCAAATTCCTAATCTATGCTATATAATGTGTATTTCTTTTCCTGGGCCATGTGAGACAGAGGACACTACCCCAAAACTGCTTCCCGTTTACGGCCCTGGTCATACCTCATAGGAGAAAGAGAACTCATGTCGGGTGATGCTGAGATTAGCTATTTACCTGACAGAACAGCAGCCAAAATATTTAAAAATTGTCTCAGTAAAATCCTTCACCAAATTATGTCCAAATTATATTATTTAAATAAAGATGGGAGGAAAAAATATTAATACCCTACATGAAACCTTTTCAAAGCTTTTTCTGTATGGCCTCTGAATTTTCAGTAGTGTGATCCTGTGACTCCCACAAAAGTTGTTTGTGTCCTGCAGATGAAGACTTCTTTGTAACTCTAATATGTAAAAATCTCTGGCTCTAGTTCATACCAGTGAACAGTGGCCAATTACTCCAGTAAGCCAATTTGTTTGCTTCCTGTCAAAAGAGTACTACCGTATGACAGAAGGGAAAGTCAATTAGATGAAAGTAAAAACAAACAACAAAAAAATGCAGCCCTTACCACTGCTCATCTGCATGGAGGACGACTTCTTTTCACTTATCCTCTCATGGCTGGTGGGAAAAGCAGACAGCTCTCTGTCTGCTGATGACACAAGGCTCTCCAGGGCAGCGGCATCTTGGGGAGGATGTGTTAAATACATCTCTCGGGGCATCTGGACCATGAGGCTGGACAGTGTCTGATCTAGAACATCCTCTTCGGCAATATAGGTGTATGGACAGTACTCTCGGGTCCTGGAGTAGATGTTGGCATTGTCGTAGCAATCTGAGCAGATCACCCGGGTGCCGGTGCCACCTAAGGACAACAAGGGAAATAACCCAAATGTCTTTCCATTAAGAAATTAGTGTTGCCAACTGTCAGCTTCCAACAGCTGTCATCATCATCACTGCTTGCATTTACTTTATAAGCCAGGTGAAGTTTCAAGCTCTTTCTGTGAACTCATTTAATCCTCACCATTACTATGAGGTAGGTGTTATTTCCATCCCCACTTTACAGATAGGATCACAACAGCACAGAAAAGTTAAGTAACTAGACCAAAGTCATACTGCCAGAGTAAGGACCAAAGTCATACTGCCAGAGTAAGGAGCAGAAATCTGAACCCAGCCATTCTGGCTCCAGAGCCCATGCTCTTGAAGACCACATGGAACCATCTCTGTCCAGCCTGGATAAGTCATGCTCAAATCAAGGGAGCCAAGGCAAGGCTGGTCCTGTGCTACAGAACACACACTTGGCATAAGAAACTAAAGCAGAGAACAAGGAGTTACGGTGACTTCACTTTAGGAAGGCTCATGTTCCTGTCACAAGTCAAGAGGTTAAGTAATAACAGTGGCTAAAAGTATCCTTGGAGAAAGCCTCTGACAGTGGAGAGTCCTGCCTAACAAGTGTACAGCTGACCAAAGTAAAGGCGTAATAATGAGCCTCCCGGACAATGGTGTGCTTTAAAAACTGAATGATGAATGAGGTAAGAGAGAGCGAGAAATATTTCCCACAAATTTCAAAGAGTATAAACTTTAAAGGATTCTTTTAAAAGTCAGAAATGCCCCTTTCTTCCATGAAAAGCCAAAATAAAATCTAATTTATCCACAAAATAGAAAAGTAGATAAAGAAGATACCCAGCCTTAACAAATCTCTGAAGAAATAAAAGAAACCTTTCGCTTGCATGGCACTTGGAGCACCACAGGATCTGCCAAAGGATCTGGGAGAACCGAGGGCAGTGCTTTACATGCTTCTTTATTTTAAAATGAGGAAACTAAGACTCAGATCTGAAGTGACTTGTCCATGGTCACAGAGCTGAAAAGAGGAAGAACTAGGAATCAAACTCAATTCTTCCATCCCGTAATTCACTTCCTGGTGTTCTGTCACTCCCTGTAGCAGTGAGGGTGGGAAAAGGGTAGCAGGAGGAGAGGCAGTGTTGAGATGTCAGGTTCATTTAATAAGGGAACAAATGACATCTCTTTTTAGAGATGAAGTCTCACTATGCTGCCCAGGCTGGAGTACAGTGGCTATTCACAGGCACAATCATGGTGCACTACAACCGCAAACTCCTGGCCTCAAGCGATCCTCCCACCTCAACCTCCCAAGTAGCTGGAACTACAGGCATACAACACCACATCTCGCTCGTACTTACCCTTTAAACTTTACTGAATATCTAGCTATTAGACAACAGGAGAAATAAACCTCCCTTGAATGTGGTCTAAAGGATGCTCATGAATGCAAAGGGCCAGAGACACCTGAAGAGTTTCCAGAACATTCTCTTCCTATAATAATAAAAGTTTGGCAGCCTCTGCTATGTAACTGCAATCCCTTGCTGAAAGATGACGTATTTCTCCTTTCTGTAAGATTTTCTTTTCCCTTTAAGACTTCAGTCAATTTTCATCCATTTTGCATAGAGCTAAATGTTGTCACTGAATATCTTACTTTAAAATATTGCTTCTGGTTAATAGAGAAACTACACACTAAAAAACAAACTCAGCAGGACAGGCTGCAGCTATAACCACCAACCACAGCACCCTTACCGTCAGGGCCTTTGTGCAGGTACCCGTTGGCAGGAGGCATGAGTTGCTGGTGACTGCCCGCCTCAGAGCTGCTGTAGCCTTCCTGTGGCTCGGATAGTGTTCCTTGGGAAGACAGGTAGCTGGGAATGTCTGCAGGCAGATTGAGCTCCTCTGTAAAAGAGACACCTGTAACCCTCAGGTGAAGTCTGGCAGGTGACACCAACACTCAGAAGATTACTTGGCAAACATATTCCGCTTTGACATCATAAGCCAGGAAAACAGCAGGTCCCTGGGGCTCCAAGAGCTCTGAGCAGTCCCCTAGAACTACTTCTCACCGGAATTCTTCTCTAAGCTCCATTTAAAAGTATGGCCAGAGGTTTCTTTCGTCCATTCCAGTTCTAGTATGTCTCCCTTTCTTTTCCCTCTTCTTTCTCTAATAAACTTTGTTCCAAAACTTTGAAAAAAAAAAAAAAAGGATGACCAAAAGAAACAAAACCTATAGGTTGAAATCCTCTCTACAGGCACACTTCACAGTCTGTCTACTAGAGGTCTTCTCTTGCAGAATTTCAGGGTGAGGGATGTCAATGACTGACCTCAATTATCCAGCCTTACAGTCAGGAAAAACAAACAAAAAAAAACACAACTGATCTCAGCCCTCATGAGGGCTCAGAAAAACTTTCTTACACCACATACCAGGTCACAGCTCCCCAGTTTTCTGGTTGTTTTTTTTTGAGATGAAGTCTCACTGTGTTGCCCAGGCTGGCCTCTAACTCCTGGACTCAAGTGATCCTCCTGCCTCAGTCTCCTGGGAAACTGGGACTACAGACGCTCTCAGCCTTTGATTTTTTGAGTCAGATCTCACTCTGCCACCCAGGCTGGAGTGCAGTGGCACGACCATGGCTCACTGCAGCCTGAACTCCTGGGTTCAGGTGATCTTCTGCCTCAGGCTCCCAAATAGCTGGGACTGTATGCAAGCACCATGTTACCCTGCTCATTGGCTTTTTATTTTTCGTAAAGACGAGATCCTGCCATGCTGCCCAAGCTGGTCGCTAACGCCTAGCCTCAGGTGATCCTCCTGCCTTGACTTGCCAAAGTGCTGGGATTACAGGCGTGAGCCACCACACCCAGCCACAGTCTTTTATATTTTACAGCAAATCCTACACTACATTCTTGACTCAAGTACAAGTCACAGGTGTCACATGGATACCACTCACCTGTGTTTGTGATACTATAGTCCTCGTTTTTCTTTCTCATGTGGTAAATAACAATGACCCAGACCAAAGAGGTGCCCACCACACAGCAGACCACGACGATGATGACGATGCCAACTGTTGTCCAGCCATCATCTTCACGCCCAGTGCTACTCTGGGAAGAGTCACAATTTGGGGATGCAATGACATTTAGGTAAATGTGGCCACGTTCTGTCCCAAGGGTGTTAGACATGATACAGGTGTATTTCCCAGCATCTTCCAGGCCAGCGTCTACAATGATGAGAAGCTGGTTGGCTGCAGCAAAGAAGTGTCGCTCTGTCACCAGCAGCGGCCCGTCATCTTTCGTCCAGTTGAGGCGAGGAGCAGGACTCCCTCCAGCGATGCACTGTAGCACTGCAGTCTCACCTCGGGCGACTGTCTTATCCTCCAGGGGCCTAATAAATGAGGGTGTCTCTACCAGGAGAAAAAAACAAGGTAGGTAGTTTTACACCCTAACTCCTATTGAATTAGACCAATAAGGGTATGATGAAGTAAGTACTTTCATAGACTTAGGGGAGGATTAGAAGGCAATGTCTCGGAAAAACAAAAACCTCAAAAAAGCCTAAATCTTACCACATTAATACCACCCTGGTCAAACTATCCTAAGAAATTCAAAGATGTATACACAAAGATGTATATAATAAATCAGCTATAATTTAAAAAAATAAAGCATCTAAAAATATAGCAGAAAAATGATTATAGTACAGTAACATGATGCTTTATGAAGACTAAATTTTTTTATTTTTTGTAGAGACAGGATTTCACAGTGTTGCCCAGGCTGGTCTCGAACTCCTGGCCTCAAGCAGTTCTTCTGGCCTTGGCTTTTCAAAGCGCTGGGATGACAGGTGTTAGCCACAATATCCAGCATGAGGACCTTTTTTTTTTTTGAGTTGGAGTCTCACTCATGGCCACCACAGCCTTGACCTGCTGGCCTTAGGCAATCCTTCTACCTCAGCCTTCCAAGTATCTGAACTACAGACGCACGTCACCACACCTGGCTAATTTTTAAAATTTATCATAGAGATGAGGTCTCGCCAAGTTGCCCAAGCTGGTCTCGAACCCCCAGGCTCAGGCAATCCTCTTGCCTCAGCCTCCAAAGTGCTGGGATTACAGGCTGAGCCATTGCTCAGCCAACACGGGGACTTTTTAATGACAGGGCCTCGTGATGAAACAATGTGAAATGAAAAAATGCAGGAAAACACAGGTGTACTTAACTACATAAAAATGAGGGAAAAGGGTCTAGAATAAATATGCTAAAATCTTTAACAGCATTTGAGTGACTTCCTGACTTCCCCTACCTTTCCCTAATTTTCTGTATATCTTTAATTTTTAAAACAATAAACTACTTATTTTTATCATTATATAAGTAAACAATACAAGTCAACAAACTTAAAAAAAAACCCTAACATCTAGAAAAATGGAGAACCAGAAAGTAGAATTTGCCTTGGATTTGAGTTCTGTGACGAAAAGTATTCTATTAAGAAGATAAAAATCAGGAAAAAGTTTTAGAAAAAAAGGCATTTTACCAGAACATAGGATTAAGAGGCGCATATTGGAAGGAAAACAGAAAATCTAGTAGGAAAACAGATCCATCTTTTTTTGTGTTAAACTTTTTTGAAAAATGAACTAGGAGGAAAGACATTAAACTGCCTTAGGTTCTTTGTGAAGTCATAAGTGGAGCACTATTACATGGCTGGGACACGTCTAAGAAAAACCGTGAAACTCTCGATAGAAACTCAATGAGCAGTTTAAAAAAAAAAAAAAAAAGGTGAGTGGATTGCCTGAGCCCGCGGGTTCGAGACCCGCCTGGGCAGCAAGACCTCATCTCTACAATAAATCAAAAAATCAGCTGGGCATGGTAGCACGCGCCTGTAATTCCGGCTACTTGGAAGGCTGAGGCGGAAGGATCGCCAGAGCCCAGCAGGTCGAGGTTGCGGTGGCCAGGAGCGGCCACTGCACTCCAGTCTGGGTGACAGAGTGAGACTCCAACTCAAAAAAAAAAAAAAGTTGCTGGGTGTGGTGGCTCATGCCTGTAATCCCAGCACTTTGGGAGGCAGAGGCAAAAGGCCTGAGCCCAGGGATTTGAGACCATCCTGGGCAACTTGGTGAGACCTCGTCTCTACAATAAATCAAAAAAAGTAGCCGGGCATGGTGACACACACCTGTAGTTTCAGCTACTTGGAAGGCTGAGATGGAAGGATCGCCTGCGCCCAGCAGGTCAAGGTTGCAGTGGCTGCACTCAAGCCTGGGTGACAGAGTGAGACTCCAACTCAAAAAAAAAGTCTAATGTTAAATAAAAACCTTACAGAGGGAGACATTAAAGGATAAGCTGATAAAGGAATCTGAATTTCCAATTCACGTGATGAAGGCCCCTAAACGAGTGCCCTGGACATTCGCCCACATTTATCTGACCCACAATATCCTGGGCAGACATAACCCTGCATAAAATGGCAAAATAAAATAACAAAGACATAAGAATAACAATGGTCATCTCAGAATTATTTTTCTTGCTCTTTAAGACCAAGAATATCCCCTAAGAGGCTCCAACAAAAGCCAGGCCTATGGGCCAGCAGACATACCTAGCACGGTGAGGGAGGCATTCGCTGAGAGGCCTCCTGCTGTGTTCTGTGCCATGCAGCTATAGATGCCCATATCTTCTATCTTCACATTGGCAATGAAAAAGACATCATCTTCGGGCATGACATGCATGCGTCTTTCTCGAGCCGCAGGAAAGTCCGTACCACCATCTTTCTGCCAGGAAATCTGAGGTGCAGGGTGCCCCTCGGCAGCACATTCTAGTCTGGCCATGGCACCAGTGCGAATAGTTAGATCCATTGGAGTTTTCAGAAAAGACGGCATCTCTGTTCCAAGAAAGATCACCAAAAAGAGTGTGGGCAGGGGAAAAAATACATGTACACGCATACAAATACCAAGAGTCTAGAAGGCAAATATCAATGGTTAGAATGCTCCATTTCTTTAAGGAGACATGCTCCCTGGATTGAGAGTGAATATGGTTCTAGTGGCCATCTTTTCTCCCAGAACCTCAGAGCATTTGGAGCACTGTGGCGGCTAACTCTCCCAAGATGCACAATACACCCGATCATCTGATGGAAACAGAGAAAGCAGAAAGCCACAAGCTTTCTGAACTCCCTATCTTAGAACCTCATATCTACTATGATGCCCTCACTTATAAACGGGCTGGGCACAGTGGCTCATGCCTATAATTCCAGCACTACGGGAAGCCAAGGCAAGAGGATTGCCTGAGTCCAGGGGTTCAAGACCAGCCTGGGCAACTTGGTGAGGCCTTGTCTCTTAAAAAAAACCCAGAAAAACAAAAAACTACCCGGGCATGGCAGCGCATGCCTATAGTTCCAGCTACTTGGAAGGCTGAGGTGGAAGGATCGCCTGAGCCCAGCAGGTCAAGGCTGTGGTGGCCATGAGCATGCCACTGCACTCCAGCCTAGGAGACAGAGTGAGACTCCAACTCAAAACAAAACAAAACAAAAAAGGCTGTCAAGGAAGCTATATGCTTAAAAAATTTATGCTTTCAAAAATCTCATTAAAAAAACACGAAGACACAAGTACATATTTCAGTTGTACAGAGGTTAAAATGTTGCAGTTATTCAATTTGATAGGCAATAGTAAATCAAGCAATTTGGAGAATTTTTTAGTCACAAAGAAGAGTATTAATTTCAAAAATGAATTTGTGTGACTACATTTAGACAATGGTAATGATCACCTAACCCAGAAATGTCCTAAATATTCCCAGTTACTAGAAAGCACACTGGGAATAAATTTCATAGTTCTCAGGGGAGATTTAGGTTCTGGAAAGAAAACTCAGAATTTCAAAAGCATAAACAGCATACCTCCTAGGGCCGAGGGATTTACCCCTCAACTAAAGACTCCTACCTTTCAAAGATCAATTAGAGACAGTAAGTGGGCAGCCTGACTAATCAAAAAATCCCACCCACTCAATACCTTATCAAAACCTGAAAGACAACAATAGTAAGACTCCACCCCGGCAAATGTCAGGTTTACCTTAAATTCGTCAAGTGATACAAAAATTGAACATAGAAAATTCTTCTAAACTTAAAAAAAAAAAACAAAAAACCAAAACCCAAAGAGCACACTTCCTTACCATTCACAGTCAGTTTGGCTTTCTGAGAATAATTGGAACCAAAGTGATTAGTAACAATACACTGATAGTTCCCTTCATCTGTGAAATTCATATTGAACAGATGTAAGATACTAGTATGTTCTAGAGCTTCTCCAGCTTGCTGCCGAAAGCGAACAAAATTCTCAATATCCACGTCATACAGGATTTCACTGTCTTTGCGCCACACAGTGGACATGGGTGAATCACTGCTGCTCACTGCACTGCATGTCAGAGTCACGTTCATGCCTCTTAGAGCAATTGTGGTTTCAGGATGGATCCTTATCTGTGGTTTGAGAAAATCATCTAGGGGAAAAAAAGGCAGGGGTCGCCAAGTCAGTTTTTTAAATTTCTGCTTCTTTAGATTCAATTTTAAAATAAGTACCATGAAAGTATATGTTGTGCTCCCAAAGTGGCACATTAAGGCCAGAAGAAGCCACAGAACTAAGGTTCCCTGCTGAAAGATGGGAAACGAGGCCCAGAAATGTCGAACGGCATCTCAAAGACGCGAAAGCAGGAGTGGAGCCCAGGCGGGAGAGCTCAGCTTTCCTGCCTTCAGGACCAGCACACTTTTCGCTGTCCTTTACTGTCTGTCACCTGTGTGCTTAGAATATACTGGAAAGAAAGAGAAGCCTTATATTGGAATTTCAAGACAAGTTCCAATTCCATTACCCCTTGTATATATGTATGTGAGACATACAGAAACATATATATTACCATTATCCTTTCTGTGTCAATACAGAACATGGTGATTATGAACTGTATTTCACAGAGAATACCCAATCATAAAACAAGTTACTTGAAATACCCTGTATGTGTGCTATATATGTGTATAAGTGTTCCCCAAAATAGTGAAAAATTCTAAAGATGTTAAATGCCCAACTGAAGATTGGCTTAAAACTGGTAACAAAACATAGATTCATAAGTAATAATATTATTGGACTATCACAGAGAAGCAGGCGCATGAACTCTTTTATTTTTATTTTTTTGGGAGTCAGGGTCTTCCTTTGACACCCACGCTAGCATGCAGTGGCACAATCACGGCTCACTGCAGCCTTAACTTCCTGTGCTCACGCAATTCCCCTCTTCCTCAGCCTCCCAAGTAGCTGGGACTACAGACGCATATCACCATACCCAGTTACTTTTTTGATGTTTCTGCAGAGACAAGATCTTGCTAATGTTGGGCTGGTCTTGAATTCCTGGGCTCAAGCGATCCTCCTGCCTCAGTCTCTCAAAATGCTGTGATTACAGGCACGAGGTACAGAACCCAACCTTGAACTCTTAACCAATATCTTCACTGGATATAACATTTCATTGAAAAGAGGAATTAAAAAAAAAAAGGGAGATAAAATATACAAAGTGTTTATATTTAAAACTAAGTGAAAAGGGAATGTGTGGCCATGTAAGCACAATTTAATCTTTACTAGATTCTTTGTTTTCTTCTTTAAAATTTGTAAAACAATGGGAGTATTCTGTGGGCCTGAACTTCCAAGTGTCCCAAGCATCTTTATATAGATTGTGAAAACAGATCGGGCAACATACAGGGAGACACAAATATGAGAGCTACCAGAAGATCTAGATGTTCCCCCAGGTGAAATGTAAGAATAGAGGGAAAATGTCCCGGCCGGGCTCAGTGGCTCAGCCTGTAATCCCAGCGCTTTGGAAGGCCGAGGTGAATGGATTGCCTGAGCCTGCAGGTATAAGATCTGCCCGGGCAACTTGGCAAGACCACATCTCTACAATAAGTAAAAAATTAGCCAGGCGTGGTAGCGCGCGCCTGTAGTTCTGGCTACTTGGAAGGCTGAGGTGGAAGAATCTCCAGAGTCCAGCAGGTCGAGGCTGCAGTGGCCAGGAGCGTGCAACTGCACTCCAGTCAGGGCGATGGAGTGAGACTCCAACTCAAAAAAAAAGAAAAATATCCCAGTTGGGAAAGAATAATATAGATGTATATTTGAAATTATAAGTGCTAGAATCAAGACAACTTGCCTCCCTGCAAGGAAAAACCAAAACCCTTTCACTTTAGTCTTAAGAAATTGCATCAAAAATACAAACCACATGAAATCTGTATAACAACATAAAATAGTGCTGTCTCTTTGGAAAATACCTGGGTGGCTCTCCCCAATATCGACTAAAATTGTTCTTGTAAAAAAAAAAAATCTTTTTGGTCCAGAAATCTCACTACCGGATATTTATCCTACGTTGACAATCCCCCTGAAGGGAAAGGCCTACAGTCACAAAAATGCTATTATACTGCTATTAAAATGATCACGTCAAGATTTAGAGGGGGAAAAATTGCTTATGAAATATTAAGCCAAAGAATACAAAATGTAATATGACCATAAAATATAAAAATACAATCACTGAAACACGGGCTGGAGAAGAAGAACACAGAGAAATGGAAATAGATGTGCTAGGGGAAAGCATTATGATTCAATTTCCTTCTAATTCTGCTGCTTATACACTAAGTGTGCTACATGAAAAGTTTAAAACAAAAATACAAACCACAGACAAAATCTTTCAGATCCACATTCAGGATGCTTTGCCCTGCTAGCCATTCAGGGTGTGCACAGCTTACATTCACGGAATGTTGAAAGTTATTATCAACCAGCCACTGAAGCAACCACTTCAAATGGCAGTCACAGAGCAAACTGCTTGTGTTCAGAATCCTACAGAAAAGAAAACAAGAAGAAGACTTGTTTCACTTTCATTCTAAATTTATTCAGCATTAAAATCTTACTACACACTTAAGCATTTTCCTTGCCAAAAATGTTTAACCTGAATCTAACCACGAGTAAACAAATCCAGACTAACGTAACTCTCTAAATATGTTCATGTCATGAATGACACAAAAAAGGAGGGGGGACAAGGGTGGCAAAGGACCTACCTATTTTAGATTACAGACGATTTAAGAGCCATTACAACCAAATGAAACGCGTGATCCTGTTGTTTTGTTTTGTTTTGAGTTGGGGTCTTACTCCATCGCCCAGTTTGGAGTGCAGTAGCACAAACATAGCTCACCGCAGCCTTGGCCTCCTAGGCCAAGAGATTCTCCCACCTCAGCCTCCCAAGTAGCTGGGGTGAGAGGTGTGCACCACCATGCTCAGCTAATTTTTTGTTTTTTGTTTTTTTTAGTAGAGACAAAGTACCCTGTGTTGACTACTCTGGTCTCAAACTCCTGGGCTCAGGCAATTCTCATTCTCAGCCTAAATGCTGAGCCACTGCTCCTGGCCAAAGGACCTTTTTAAACATTGAGGAAACTTAAGTATGAACTGCATACTAAATAATATTACTTTATCAAGTTAATTTCCTTGAGTGTGAAAATGGTGATGCAGTTAAATAGGTAATGTCCTTGTTCTTAAAAATATATACACTGAAATATTTAGGGATGAAATGTCATAATGTCTGCAGCTTTCAAATGGTCAGAAAAAAAGACTGTATATATATGTGTATTGGAGATAGCGAGAAAGAGAATGAGAGAAAGAGAAAGGGAGAGAAACAGATAACAAGCTTGACAAAGTTAACAACTGGTGAATCTAGGTAAGGGGCATATGGGTGTTCACTGTATCTTCCTTTAAATTTGGGGGCTTAAAATTTTCCCCAAGAAAGTCTGAGGAAAAGCTTATTATATTTATTAGAGCTGGGATCTGTTGTAGAGAGTATATAATTATTTCCAAATATTTCATTAAGACTAAAAGCACTTCAGCACTGCGGCAATGTGTACTTCATTTTAAACTAAGCACCACTGAATATTTATTTTGGGTCCATAACAGGCTTATAAAACATATGTGAAAAATCAGTACTTTCTCTCAATGACCCCTTAAATATTCTGTCCATTTCAATGCAGCTAGGAAGCAAATGATTTTGAGAACATTATAATTTGTTTTATGTACATGATCAAATCTTCAACTAGTTTTAAAGTTTGGCATAAAGTATCTAGGATCTGATTCAATAAAAGTTTCAGTCTTTAAGGGTATATCAAAAAGCATATTTTATCAAGGGTAATTTAAATTAAACAAGCCAAAAGCTACCTTTTGCATTTAAGAAAGTTCTTTTCATTCACTCTTAGAGAAAAAAAAAATTTGGAGTCAGGGTCTCACTCTGTTGCCCAGGCTGGAATATAGTGGCACCATCATGGTTCACCACAGCCTCGACTTCCTGGGCTCAGGCAATCCTTCTGCTTCAGCCTCCCAAGTAGCTGGGACTATAGACATATGTCACCATGCCCAGCTAATTTCTTGATTTTCTGTAGAGACGAGGTCTCACTATGTTGCCTAGACTTCGTAGAGAAGTATTTGAGTGTCTACTACATGCTAGGCAATATTCTAGGCTGTGGAGATGTGACCCCCATGGAGTTTATATATTAAGAGCTAAGTAATAAATACATACATGCAAAATACAATGTCAAAAAGTATTAAGTGTGGGGCTGGGTGTGGTGGCTCATGTCTGTAATCCCAGCAACTAGGAAGGCTGATGTGGCTGGATCGCTTGAGCTGGGAGTTTGGGGTTACAGTGAGCTATGATTATACCACTGCATTCTAGCTTGGGCAACAGGGTAAGACCCTGTCTCTAAAAAATAAAAATAAGTTTTAAAAAAGTGTTAAGTGCCATGAACAAAAACAAAGCTAGGCAAAGACATAGAGACAGCAGCTACCAGTTTAGGGCAAGTTTTTTAAAAAGATGGCAGGTGAGCAAAGAACTAAACAAACTGGACAAAGACCTGAACAAAGTGAAAGGGCAGATCATGCCAGGTCTGACCTCAGAACGCCCCAGACAAAGGAGACTCCATGCCAAGACTTGAGGCAGACATGCTTAGTATGCTCATGTGAAGCAAGGAGGACACTGAAACTACAGCACAATGAGCAAATGAGACTGGCAGGAATGTGGCTGGAGAGTTGCGCCAGCAGAACCTGGCTACGCAGGTGCTTCATAAACAAAGGGAAAGGCCGGGTGCGGTGGCCAAGCCTGTATTCCCAACACTCTGGGAGGCTGAGGTGAGAGGACTGCCTGAGCCATGGGTTCGGGACCAGCCCAGGCAACTTGGCGAGATCTCATCTCTACAATAAGTCAAAAAATTAGCTGGTGGCATGTGCCTGTAAATCCAACTCCTTTGAGGGTTGAGGCAGAAGGATCACCTGAGCCCAGCAGGTCAAGGCTGTGGTGGCCGTGAGCATGCTACTGCACTCCAGCCTGGGCAACAGAGTGAGACTCCGACTCAAAAAAAAAAAACAACCAGAAAAAAAACAAAGGGAAGGACTTGAGTTGTGCTTATTTTTTTCCCCTAAGTGTAGTGATAAGCCACTGGAAGGTGAAGAATAGAGGAGGAACAAGGTCTGATTTGTTTTCTTAGGTATAATACAAACTGGACTCACAAGACCTGGACCAACAGCCTAACTCCACTACTTATCTTAGACATGCACAGAATGCCTCCAAAACTTCAGTTTCCATTTCCGAAAAATGGAATTGAGAGTGCCCACCTCAAAAAATGTTTTAAATAAAGCACTGAGCACAGTGCCTGGCGACAAACACGACTTAATTCATGGTAGTGCCCTTCACTTCTATTTATTTTGTTTCTTTCCATCATTCATATACTAACCAACCCTGCCCACAAGCACCTAACAGAGTACATCACATTCTCTCAAAAAGTGTGTGTACAGATACATACTAAAATTTTAACAATGGTTGTCTTCAAGTAGCAGGGATTCAGGGGTCCTTCTCTCTCTTGGCTTAATTAATTGTATTTTCTAATTTTTCAACTATGAGTATGTAATTTTAATCAATAATAATTTTAACTATATGTAACTTGCACAGCTTTGGAAAGGGGCAGTTTTAGTTATGCCACCAGGTGAAGAGGGTCAGAGAAAATGAGAAACATTCATTTCAAGAGTTGTAGCCAGATATGATAGGAAACCAGATGAAATGAGAATCTGGTAAGGACTACCAAAATGTGCAAGACAAAAGCCACAAGGGTGTGCTACAGTCTGTCTACTGAAATTAAAAAAACGTATCTCTATAGTCACTCTCCTTTCCATTTGTTTACAAAACAAGTCTGGTCTCATTAGAGTTGGCCTGATTATTTACAAACGTGCAGCAAGAATGGCAATTGACCACAAAGCCCTCCTGAATTTGCTTTGCTGGAACTTTTCAAAGAAACCTCTGATTAGACTTTTAAAAGCCTCTGAAGGATAGTAAGCCAAGCCAGGAACTCTCTACCACCTCACCTACAGACTTGGGTAAGATCCTCTCTTCTTAAGATTATCAAAATATCCTAAAGCTCCTGAGACTGCCAGAAAGTGACCTTCCTTTCTCATTTGTAAGGCCAAGAACTCTGTAAACAAAGCACCAGGCCAGTTTTATCAACAGGGCTTCATAAGCACTGGCGCCTTAAAACCAGTCTTAGTTCCTTAAAGTTATCTGGTCACATCAAATTTTATGCATCATTCTCAAATATGACATTCCAGTCAAAGACTTGTAACATAACCAATGTTTTCAACTGTGTCCTGTTACAAGGAGAATAGCTTCCTATTTAACTTATGTAAATAACCATATTGCCATTAAAAAAAAGACTCATTAAGTTTCGAATTCTGGTGAGATCAGGCAGGGAGAAAAAGTAATTGTTTCATTTTTTTGTTCCAGTGGTATACTTTATCACTGTCGTGAGTTATAGATAGCATAAAAGGAAACAGAAATGGGTTTCTTAAATCTGGAAATAAAACATTAAGGAACCAGCAATGTTCTAGATCAAGAATCATCCTTTATCAATTCATTCATTCCATGTAATTAATTCTTGTTCTGCTTGATCCTGGATTACCAGTTTCACGAACCCATCAGTTTCTTCATTGGGGTTCTGGACATTTACTTTGCTAAATGGTATGATGTTAAAGTTATCAGAAACCTTCATGTCAGAGTCTTTTCCATGAACCTCTCTGAAGATGCAGTACTTCTGGGACAATAGTTGTTTGCAAAAGCTTTCAGGAAAGAATCAGAAACAACTGAATGACAAAGGACTTAAAAAGGCCATGGTTAAAGATGTGGTGAGAGTTCATTTGGCAAGTAAATTTAGATATTTCTGTGGCACACATTTTAATATAATAACCAAAATTATGGCTGATAATATTATGCTAGACATATGAATAGCAAGGGTACCGACAAATTTCTATGAACTTCATACTTCTCAAATACTTACATTAATATATGTGTATACAAATATAACCCACAAAAGATTTAATATCATTTCTTCCTTTTTTTTTTTTTTTTTTGAGTTGGAGTCTCACTGTCGCCCAGACTGGAGTGCAGTGGCCACTCCCAGCCACCGCAGCCTCGACCTGCTGGGCTCCGGTGATCCTTCCGCCTCAGCCTTCCGAGTAGTTGGAATTACAGGCGCACGCTACGACGCTCGGCTAATTTTTCACTTATTGTAGAGATGAGGTCTCACCAAGTTGCCCAGGTGGGTCATATCACTTCTTCTTTTTTTTTTTTTTGAGTCGGAGTCTCACTCTGGCACCCAGGCTGGAGTGCAGTGGCACACTCACCACCACCACAGCCTCAACCTACTGGGCTTAGTTGATCCTTCCACCTCAGCCTTCCAAGTAGCTGGAACTACAAGCATGCGCCACCATGCCCAGGTAGTTTTTTTTTATTTATTGTAGAGATGAGGTCTCGCCATGTT